GCGAGGGATTCAGTGGGAGCCCTGACTGCACAGAAAGGCTGGCTGACGTCTAACCCTGTCCATCATCTGTTCCTGGTACAAACCACCTTCACCGTGTGTCCTTCGGGGCCTCGGACCGGAATGCCTGGCTTACGGGGCTCGCTGAGTGCTGGGTGTAGGAAGCGTTACAAGGAAAGACCAGCATTTTTCTTAGCGGAAGCCAGGATGTGGGAGGAAGGAATTCACGCTGCTATTTTTACATTTCTGCAAAAGTCTTAGCCTTCGGAGAACAGATTGCTTTTAAAGCACAGCACATGCAATTTGTTTCTCCCTCAAAAGTGAAAATTCATGTGGAACTTTTAGATGAAAAAAGTAAAATACAGGTTTAAAACGGTTTTCTTGAAGTTCGGGATATTGGTGAGAGCTGGCCTATAAAGGCAGGTCCATGCCTTGACCTCAGTGCGGAGGGAACAGTGAAGCGAAGTCAGTTAACTGGTCATCAGTGCGACAGACACCCCTGCGTTTAGAAGAGCTGTCACCCACACACTCGCCCAGCAGGTAGGCTCGACCCGCGGATGCAAGGAAGCCCACACGCCAGGCAGCCGTGGCCACACGCCGTGCGTGTACCTGCTTCCCATGGACCAGGATGGTGGTAACGTGCGGGGCTATGGAGGAGGAGAATTTCTGGGTAAATGCAGCCCCAGAGCGAACCGCCAACCTGGGTGTGTCAGTGCGAAGCCATAAAAGGGAAAATACAGTCAATACAACTTCCGGGAGCCTGTTCTTTTCAACATAATAGTCAGCACCGTCAGCGTCTGCTGGCCAATGGCCTAAGATGCCAGGGTAACATTTACCTAAAAGCCACATGTAACATTTATCTCAAAGGCAAGTGAAGCAAAACCGGGGCTGCTTAGCCAAAGGAAGATCATGGCCACTCGGGCCCTCCCCGGCTGTCAGGCAGCGTCTCTGAGCTCGCACGCTGCACGTGCTGAGGGTCTACAGTGAGAAACGGGGTCCCCCCAGGTTACGGCACTATTTCTCCTGGGCGGGAAGGGCGTGTTTGTGAGCATCACAGAGCTGGAAGGCTGCCAAGAGACTGGCTTATCAATACTCTGATTTCAGAGATTCGAACCCCAAGGCTCACTCGGGTGAAGGGAGTTTCTTACATATCTTGAGACTTTTTCCCCCCAAAATTAGAAAATAATGGGTCACGTAAAAAATATATATGTATACTCTTACTTTCAAAATGTTAGATTCCGCCAGTAATGCTGTTAGAATTGCTTCAAAATGCAGAGAGCCGTGCGTTTAGGCCAACTGCCCTGCTGTGAATTTAAACTGTTTTATTTCGACTTACCTCATTTTGTTTCAACCCCTGGGAAGAGACTACCGCTGCAGAACTCATTAGTCATTTTCCGAGAAGCCACTGCGGGCCCTGGGAGCTATTCCGTCTAAGTGGTGAGAACTGCCTGCTCAGGGGATGACTGGTGCCGGCGCTGACATAAGCCTCTCCCCCCGTGGCCTCCGAGGCAGTGGGCAAGGCTCCTGACAGAGCAGAGCCGGAAGCACTGCTGGGCCCCGGGGGGCAAGGTCACGCACAGGCCGCCCGTGCACACCCCCAGGTGCTGCTCCGGGGAGTCTCCCTCCCAGGCACTTTAATCTCGGGGAGTGTGGCGGGCACGGTGCTGGCCGCGGAGTTGGACAGTGGAAATGAGGGGGAACAGCATCTTGGAGACCAGCCCATCATCTTCAGGCCCTTCACTAGGACAACACACAGGACAAACACAAGGACAAGGACACTCATACGAACCAGAGCTTCTTGCTGCCAGCTTTCCTATAGACTCTCTCGATGTGATCGGACACGGTACCTGGACATCGGGGAAGAGAGTGCGTCACATTTATTCTCCACTTAAAAGCCACTCACATTTCCCTTACCGGTGTGGCTCAGTGGATAGAGCGTCGGCCTGCGGACTGAAGGGTCCCAGGTTCGATTCCGGTCAAGGGCATGTACCTTGGTTGCGGGCACATCCCCAGTGGGGAGTGTGCAGGAGGCAGCTGATCGATGTTTCTCTCTCACCGATGTTTCTAACTCTCTATCCCTCTCCCTTCCTCTCTGTGAAAAATCAATAAAATATATTAAAAAAAAAAAAAGCCCCTCGCATTTCCATTTTGTTTTGTTCCACGAGAGCTGGTACGCCCACACCGTAATGTCCCGCACTGCCTGACACAGGTAACATGCTGCCCAAATACACAGTGTGGTCCTGCCCCTGCTGCTAGTTCGTCTGAGCAGGTGATTTAGTGAGGACTGGATGTCTCGATTTTTTCTTAATTAATATGCAATCTCTAAGTTTTCAACACATAAAAGTGTTATTTTAATTCACTGCAGAAAATAAAACACAGAACATAGCCAACTGAGCAAATGCTGGAGCCTCTGCATATATAGGGTGTCCCCCCAAATGTATACATATATATTTTTGATAGCTCAATTGACAATGTTTTCTTTTCAGATTTAACCCATGGGAATGAATAATTATTCAAAGTGTGTATACATTTTGGGGGGACACCCTGTATATGATTCTTTACTTATTTGTTCGGCAAAACTACGGAGGCGTATGCGCTGCTGCTCACACCCACGCCACGCCCTGCGCTCCCTGGTGCCAGTCCCCACTGGCCGGGCCTCATGTCGGCTTTGCCAATGAAGTAACCACGTGAGGAGACAGAGCACCGAGAGGAACAGGGTGAAGAGGAGGGTCGTCATTTTACCCTGAACTTACTTCTCTGACTCTGTAACTAATCGGGTAAAATCACATTCAGGTTCTATACACGCTCTCGATTTTCACTCTATCGTAAGGTTTTACAGATTTAAACCATCTCAGTATCTAAGTGAAAGATGAGTATTACTCCCAAGTTTACAAAAAATGGTTTAAGAAATGATTCCCTCAGCATGTTTGTGATAAACTATTTACATAAATATTGTTCTGTGTTAAAGCACTACTAAAATACCCATCCTGGAGTCCAGGCTCCTAATGAAATCCTTGCTTTTATGAAATCCTATTGTTTTAAAGTGTAAATTTCAGTGAACGTCCTCAATATAATTGGGATTCTGCTTATACTTATAGTTTCAATACTAATTAGAAATGAGGGATTCTGTTTGAAATTCGCCTAAAGTTCTTCCGCCTTTAATTAGTTAAGAAAATTAAGAGTATTTAATTCGCATGTATAATACTCAAGGTTGGCTCTTAGCTACAATAATGCAAAAACGAATTGCCTTATGTGAATAAGTGATTATGTTTAGTTCACTACCAAAACTATAAATCTTATTAATTACACCGATGCTTAAAATTCTGACTCAATTTCCAGGTCCAACCAAAGCAACATGTCCCAGATGAGCCCAAAACGCTGAGTAGCTGGACAACACCCACGTGAAGTGTATCCTGCATTGTTCTCTATGGGAAAACGCCCGATGGAGAACTCAGGGGCTCTTGAGAGCCGCGACTCAATGCACAAACTCGGGTCCAGGGGTAACGGGTTCCCCGTGAACGCAGCGTGGTGGACACCACGGAAGGGGCTTATTTCTGTTCATCTTCAGGGCACACCCCCATCCCGTGTCGGTTCCGCCCACGTGGCTGCTGCGGACCACGGGGCGGCTGGTGTTTACAGCTACAACAATTCAATGTTGTTCTTGAAAACGGACAGAAAATAAAACTGGAAAGAGACACTGTCCGGGAGCAACCAGGTTCAGAGTCACAGCAGAACCCCGGCTCCAGCACCGTTCAGACCATCAGAGAAACACCCTGCGTCCCTGAGCCATGAGGAGCGCACACCTCCCCCGCCGGCCAGGTGGCGCGCACGAGCGTTTCCCACGTAAATGTTTAAAAGAGTTCAAGGAAGTCACTGGTGAGTCTGGTGTTCGGCAGAAGCTCGCGGCAGCGCGGCCGCTGCTGGAAACGTCTCCGCCCGCCCCTACCTTCCTTTGTGATGAAGGTGGGGCCTTCCCTCTTGAGCAGGATGCCCAGCAGGATGACTTGGCTGGCCAGGCCGCTGCAGTCCTGGGAACACAGATCACGGGGGTGACGGGGGGCCACAGGCCTCCCTCGGGGCCCCTGGGAAGGGCCCGCCTCACCTCCAGCTTCTGCAGAATGTCCTGGGTGGGTCTGGCCCTCCACTCGGCGAGGCTGACGTCGGGCTGCAGTTCCAGCTCGGTGGCCTGGGAGGCGCTGCTCTGCCGTTTGACTTTGGAATGTTTGGGGAGCTCTAGTTCCTCGAAACTCTTGAATTCCGGAACCCTAGACGCCAACAGAGAACGTTTCCGACTCCTGCACCTGCAATGGGACCCGGAGACACGCCAGCCCCCGGGCGGGACTCACTCCTCCGTGTCGCTGATGCGCAGGAAGTCCAGCTGCTCCACCACCGCTCCTGATATCAGCGTCTGGAGGGCGGGAAGGCGGGCGCGAATGAGTTCATCAGGCCCAACTCTGTGACCTGTGCACACGCCTGACTGTCCCCATGTCATTCTTCAAATGGGTTTACCTAACATATCAACCCTGAAGCCATTTCTTACGTGGGTGTTCTAAAATCAGACAGGTTTGCACATGCCACACACACACGAAACACAGCCCAGACACCGAGCTGCGGCCCACGAGTCAGAGTGAATAAGGACAGCAACACGACACCAACTGTACTTCTCTCTGCTCTCAGAGCTGTGGTCATTTTCAAGCTGAGATAAAATTCACTGCCTATTAAAGTGCTAAAAAATAATTTGAAATCAAAGAAAACACGAAATGCTGAAATTGTCTGGGCAGAGATCCTGTGAATCGCTGGGTGCCGCTCATGGTGGACAGCACACACACAGAGGGCTCGGCTTCCCTGGGTGAGGGGAAGGCGCTGGAGGCCTATGGGCTGGGGAGAGCAGGAGGAGGGAGCCGCTGTGGCCAATAGGAACTTAGGAGAGGACTGTTAGGACCCAGGGGGGATGGTGGTGGCCTGGACCAGTGTCGGGGCTGGAGATGATGGGAACGGCTAGGTTCTGAGAGGAGAGAACCGGTTTGATACTGGATTGTAATGTGGATATAAAGAAAGAGTCAAGAATTCATTTATTCTCAAAGCTGGTAACTAACACTGAAAACATAAGAAAATTAATTTTGATTTAATGTTTTCTAGTTTTATTAGCTTGGCCTCCCTTCTGTACTAATAGCCCGTAAAGGGAATGTTTAATTGGAGTCAATAGGCAAGTGGGCTGGGGAGCCACTGCACGGGGAGGGCGGGAATAACGCCCCGAGACCAGCGCCTCCCACAGCGCGCACATGGAGAAACACCTGCGCCCTCACTGGACTAACTGTCGTAACTAAATGAGGTGCGAGCTCAGCCTTGGCGCCGGAGGAACACCAGCTACCTGCAGGCGGTCCACGTGCACCTTCACGCCCCCGACCACGCCCTTCTTGAAGGCCGCCAGCATGTCCAGGATGGGGTTGAACCGGCTGCCCCTAGAGATAGAAGCAGACAAGCAAGATGCGCATGTGAACGCAGGATGAGAAACGGACCACCTCCCACCGAGTGCCCTTCACACCTGCCCCGCGCCGGAACCCCGAGGGGAACGGGGAGCACGGGCGGCACCGCCCCGCGCCCACCCACCTGATGTTGTCTTCCCGGATGAGTACGAGGAAGAGGGGCCGCCCGTGCATCTTCCAGTACTGCCGGATGAACTGCAGCGCGTTCTGTGGGGACAGCGGGGCGGGGTGGCACCTGGCTGAGCCGGCAAAGCCCTCCATGCCCAGGTCACTCCCAGTCCACCCAGGGGTGAGCAGGCGACCAGGGCAGAAGTCCAGCACCAACACATATGGCAGGGCACGCACAAGCTACCGGAACCACCCTGCCTTCATACTTTGTTCTCTAAGAGAACAGATGCATGGGACTAAGGATGCTTGTTTTTGGCGTGTGGCCTGATAAGCACAGTCAAGGACGGCCCCAGGGGAGGCAGGCTCATGCTCACCTCCACCCTGAGCGTGTGAGACGGGAGGCGGAGAGACTGGACTGAACCCACACGGACCTCCCGCCATGGGGAGGTTCTCCTCCGACTCAGTGTCTCCCTGCCCATCCCCCTCAGAGCCGGGCAGCACTCGCGCGCGGCGGCCGTGATGATGAGCAAACAGGGGCGTCACGACCCTCCGCAGTGGAAACGGAAAAGGGAGGAGGCTTAACTAACGGGGCTACGAGTTGGCTGTCTTCCTTGACATTCTTCATAATGAATGGCTTCTGGCTCAGCTTTTGTTCCAGAGGAGATGACCCGCGGGCGCCAGAGGACCCAGAGTCCGAGCAGCCACGCCAGCTTAAGCAGAGCAGACCCTGTCACCCAGACCACCAGGGTGACGGGTCGGAGCCAGGACCTATGATGGAATTAGCCGAACAGCCCTGCCTGTGGGTGAGGGAGTGCTCCCGGCTACCTTTATGTCGTCTATCAGCAGCAGGACGTCCTGGGACATGTAGAAGTCACTCAGGTCGAAGATGATGGGGTAGCACACCACAGTCTTCCCCAGAATGCGGTAAATCTGCGGGAGACGTTCAAAATAAACACAGAGCCGGCCGAGGCTGAGGTACGTTACAGAGTCTGAAAAAATGACTACTCATGTCCGATCAGAGGAGGCAAATAATAGACTCATAAAAAACACGTAACATGAAGGAGTTTTAAAGCCCCTGACTGACTGGGGGTGTGAGGAAGCACATGACCGTCCCTCCACCACGACAGAGAGCCCCTGTCGGCAGCCACCACCATCCCGCTATCTCAGGGCACTCAGAGGTAACGGAGCGGGGCGCTCACTCCCTCCCTCCCAGAAGACTTCTGTGATGTCACACAAATCCAATAAGGAAATTGGCTGTAAAAAATCATGACTCAGGCCCAACCGGTGTGGCTCGGGGGTTGAGCGTCGACCTATGAACCAGGAGGTCAGGGTTCCATTCCCGGTCAGGGCACAGGCCTGGGTTGCAGGTTCGATCCCCAGTGTGGGGCGTGGAGGAGACAGCCCATCAATGGTTCGCTCATCATTGATGTTTCTCTCTCTCTCCCTCTCATTGCAGGTTCGATCCCCAGTGTGGGGCGTGCAGGAGACAGCCCATCAATGTTCGCTCATCATTGATGTTTCTCTCTCTCTCCCTCTCCCTTCCTTTCTGAAACCAATGAAAATATAATTTTAAAAGTGACTCCAGGGAGGAGCCCAAGTGCAGCCGCTCCCGCCCATGGTGCCGCGGTGCCCACCCCCGGAGCCCGCGCACCTTGGACGTGCCGAGGCAGCCAATGGGCCTGTCCGGCCGCCCCGAGAGCCCCAGCTTCTCGTTGACGCCCAGGTGGAAGTAGGCCTGTAAGACACACGTGTGTTAACAGAGGGGCGAGGAGCGTGCTTCCCCCCCTGCCCCTGCCCCACCCCCGCCATTTCCTGCTCCTTTTCTTCTCTCTCCAGAGGAAAAGCGCGGGAGACCTTATCCCATGGGCTTGAGGCACACAAGCCGGCCGATGGCGGCCACTGGACTCTGGGCCCCGAGATGTGAGAGCCGGACGGTCAGAGTCAGCCTCCGGCTCTGCCGATGCACAAGGGAACGAGACAGAGGCCCCGGGCCCACCACGTCCGCCAGTTAACGTCAGAGCACAGGCCGCAGGCGCCCTCCTCCTCCCAGCACTTCTCACCCAAGCGGGAGCGTCTTACTGATTTTTCTGCTATAAATTTTATTTTAAAGTTTAAGCCAAATGCTACTACACGGCCCCGCCGACTCTCACCACCCGTTGGGCAACGCTGGTGCATGTTAAAGGGGCGGGAGTTATTCTGTGACCCCTAAACCACCAGTAGCAGCAGGACAGCTCCCTAACGCCATAGATCAGTGATGGCGAACCTTTTGAGCTCGGCGTGTCAGCATTTGAAAAACCCTAACTTAACTCTGGTGCCGTGTCACATATAGAAATTTTTTTGATATTTGCAATCATAGTAAAACAAAGACTTATATTTTTGATATTTATTTTATATATTTAAATGCCATTTAACAAAGAAAAATCAACCAAAACAATGAGTTCGCGTGTCACCTCTGACACGCGTGTCATAGGTTCGCCATCACTGCCATAGATGCACGCACACCCCACGCATCAGTGTGCAGACGTGGACATGGATGGTGCATAGATGACATCATCTGTGCGCTGCCTGTGCGTTCATCTACATCTCAGTGCTGATGTGACTGAAGGGACGAGGTCTGCGGAAGTCAGGAAAAGGGGGCTCCCAGGGCGACGGTGGGGAGCCAGCACCCACCTTCACCAGCTCCTGCTGCGCCCAGATCTGAATGGGCTCCACCTGCTGAGGCGTCTGCGTCTGGATCCCGTACGTGTTGAGGAAAACCTGGAGGCTGAGGGGCCAGGCAGAGAGGGACCTTGGGGACAGCAGGGAGCAGCGTGGAACCCACGGGCAGAGACGGGGCTCGGGGCAGCTGTATTTGTCAGCGGAGCAGCGTGCCGTCTGCCCTGGGACCCCGGGGCCCGGGGGCCTCACGGAACATCAGGTGGGAGCTCTGGGGACGGGCCAACGTGGGCGGGGGGCAGGCACAGGATTGGGGGATCCCCCTAATCTGTGAGCTCGTGTTTCAATGCTGCACCCCAGGCCACACTGGCGCTGGTCACAGTAGTTAACACTCCCGTCACTAAAACTGACGAGAATGTGGTCCTGCACTTAAAGGGGCGTGCACGCCGTCCTTAAACCCTGCCAAGGGCCTACGCGGAATCTCTGCCGCCAGCCTCAACATCGGGAGGGGAAAGCGAGCGCCCCCCCCCCCAGGCTCCCCACAGCGCACGCCGCCCTCCACGCTCCATACCGCTGGCTTTCCGCGATGAGCGCCACGTGGACCACCAGGTCGTTCTCCAGGGGGCCCTGCCACACAGAAAGGGGGCGCGACTGAGAAGATCCGGTCACCACGGCTGTTATCCGGGCGCCCGGGCAGCATTAACGTCTCCGGGTTCACTGAGAGGACGGCACGAGCTGCCTGCGGGGCCGCCCCTCCTGCTCTCGCTGCCCCCTGGTCCCTCTGACGCGCACAGTCGTGGGACAGGAGGGAGCCATCAAGCTCACCGCCCGGGGAGGTGAGCCGTCGGGCTCTTTGGAATGAGGCCTGAGAGTAGTTTGGGGACGGAGAGCCATTTTCCATCACTTCCCTCTGAGGGGAAGAGGAGGAGCTAAACATAAAAACCCAATGTTTGTATTCTCTGTGAGACAGTGACTGGGAGTGAAGTTACTCGTTTGACATCTTAACACGCACACGGCTCCTCCCGGTCCTGTTAGCAACTTGCCTGCGCACCTCATGTGTCCGAGAGCCAAGCTCTAAGGTGTGGCTCCCACATGGGGGGCCGGCCCGCTCACTGCAGTCAGCACCGTGTCCCCGCACAAGCTGAGGCTCAGCGGTCCCCTCGGGGCCAGCGCTGGGCACGTGCTTCTGTTTCGGTGACGGAGACGGGCTCTGGCCATCTGACGCCCTGAGCCCTACGTGACCCACAGGGAGCGCTCAGAAGCCCCGGAACCCCCGCGGTAGGCAGCTCTGAGGACACGGGACACACCATGTCTTCACAGGGATGCGCCCCACTCCCGCAGCGCGCTGTCCACGGCCGACCCCGCCAGGGACTGCCTCTGTGGTTCTGAGGGTGGACTGTGCGTGGCATGGAAGGCCAGCAGCACAGAATATGCGCATCAGCAGCGAAACCCGCGCGGCCAAAGGCACGACCCCCAGGACCGCAGTGACAATGCCATTTCGGGCGGACTTCCTGGTGGGGAGGAGCCCACAACCAAGGTACGTGCCCTTGACTGGAATCGAACCCAGGACCATTCGGTCCGCAGGCTGACGCTCTCTCCACTGAGCCAAACCGGCCAGGGCTATAAATTCTATTTCTATTCGATAAAAACCTTAACAGTTCATGTTACTCCAAAGGGCCAGGAAGTAAATGAATTATTCAGAGGCACATCGAGATTTCTAACGAGAAATCAAAACACTGAGCCTCATTTCTCTCGGGTGAAGCCTGGTATTTGCATCAGAAGGAGGGGTGGGCTCCGACGGGGGTCGCTGAGTCTGCGGGAGTGAGGGCTCCTACCTAAGGGGTGAGGACGGCGTGGGCTGGCAGGCAGCCCCGGGGCGTCCCAGGAGGGCACTGCAGCTCCCGGCCGTGGCCTGGTGTTTCCTTTGGACTCGCAGGCCTGCTTGGACTCTGTTCTCTCCCTCTGCCTGGCAGACTGGAACCAGCTCTGAAGTGCCCACGCGCAAGGCACCACGTGAGCATCGGCTGGGGGCTGCAGGGGCTGAGCCATTCAGCAAGCTCCCTTCACAAACCACCTGCCTGCTGAGCGTCGGCCTCCGAGCCCCGCCCGGAGCCCTTTGCCCACCATCCCCCCCAGAAGGAACTCGGCGCCCACAGAGGTAAACATGTACGTGATTTACCGATCGATACTGGCTTCCATCCGGCTCTGGAGCTTGGAAAATAAGCTCTGACGATTAAAAAGCATCCCTCTCCCACCTGCCTTTCCTCCCAGACCCGCAGAGCAGCTCAATCCGCCCTAATTGGCCTATTAAACGCAATTCTCAGGCTCAACGCTGGGGTGTTGCAAAAATGATGACCGGGAACCCAAACTGCCTCAGGGTGCTTCAGCACACGTGACCTGCTCTACCACGATAATTAAACCAAAGACGTGAAATACTGCTTCACTCGCCCAAAATACTCATGTTCTATTCACGAGACAATGCAGCTCAATCCGCCCTAATTGGCCTATTAAACACAATTCTCAGGCTCAACGCTGGGGTGTTGCAAAAATGATGACCGGGAACCCAAACTGCCTCAGGGTGCTTCAGCACACGTGACCTGCTCTACCACGATAATTAAACCAAAGACGTGAAATACTGCTTCACTCGCCCAAAATACTCATGTTCTATTCACGAGACAATCCAACTCCCTGCGAGTCTCCGGGGGCCCCTTAGGAGGGGCCCCCACAGCCCCGCCTGCCCTTAGGAGGGGCCGCCCTGGGACGGGGAGCACTGACGGGGGAGTTCCGTGAGGACCAAGGGAGAGGTCTTCTTCAGAGACTCAGACCTTTAAACCCGTCAACAGATTCAACATGAGGAGAAAGGAAGCCCCAGGCAAGTGGCCTCTATTTATGAGAAAGTGGATTTCCCTCAGAGGAAGGAGCCAGGCGTCCAGTGGCTCGGAGGGGCCCGGAGGGGCGGGCGTGGAGGCCTGAGGCATTGGTTACAACGACACCAGCCACCGGCTCCGTGTGCTCCTGGGCGCTGGACCTCAGCCTGGCGTCCTGCCTCCCCCCACGCTCCAGCCTGGCCATGGGAGCCATGGCCGTGTGAGCCGTCACTGCCCTCCCGCTGCTAGTGGAGCTGCTCATCTTCACCAGCTCAGGGGCCGCTGGAATGGTGCCAGCAGTCGGCCCGTTGCTTTAAACTTCCAGGTGGACCTCCCTCAGTTCTGGAGAGTTCTGACCCGGCGTGTCCTTCCCTTTGGCTCCAGGTAAACAGTGATTGACAGGAGGCTCTTCTTCCCTAAAGATGGGGATACGCCTGAGAAGCTCCTCTGTGGCTGTGTTGGTGGAGGGGGGGTCCAGGCCTTCAGAGACATCGCCTGAGAAGCTCCTCTGTGGCTGTGTGTGTGTGTGTGTGTGTGTGTATGTGTGTGTGGGGGGGGGGGGGCCTCCAGGTTCCCGGAGGCGTGTTTGCCACCTGGGCTGTGTCCTTCTGTGTCATCGTAACGGCCACGGGTTCTGTGCTCAGTGCTAAAGACCCATCTTGCAGGGAAACCCGGCTCTGAGTCCCATGCACTCTCTCTCTCTTTGCCAAGCGAGTGAAGTGAAGTGTGTGTTAATCCTTTAAGTAGAAATTGTCTCAAACTGGTCCAGCGATCTGAGAGCATTGGAATGAAGTGAACCAAATAAAGCGGAGCCTCGTGCAAAGTTTCCTTAAATCGCCCAAGGTTCGTAAACCTCGAAAAACCGTGAGCAGCTCTGAAACAAGAACAGCAAAGGGCGCAGGACAAGCCCGTGCTGCAGGAGCTGCACAGGAAGCGACTACATGGAGAGGCTGCCCCCTGAGTGCGGCAAGCCCACCTAGGGAGCCCGTCTCCACCACTGAGCCCGTCACTCCCCGCACCTGGCTCTGGGCACCGTCCACGCCATCGCTCCGAGGGTACCCGCAACCAGGTCCTGGGAGCCCGCGACGGCAGTGCCCCGACTCACACATCACACCCAGAAACCATGTGATGGTGCGCGAGCTGCAGGGCGGCGGTGGGAGCCCAGGCTGGGCTGCTGTGCGGCGGGCCCTGCAGGTCTGCAGACCAGCCCCCGAGTTCCGGCCAGTTCTGCGCCCTTCCTCCCAGAACACACGTCGTCAGCCTTCCTGACCGTCTCAGAGTCCAGCTCTCCCCACCTTCCCACCCACTCCCGCCGGGTTCCTGCCTCCCCCTCGCACACCCCGACTCCCCTGCATCGCCACCCCTGCAGGTGCGCTGCGCTGTCCGGACAGGGAGTGGAGACAGAGCCCGTCCCCGCCTGAGTGAGGGGCCCGCGGCCGGGAGACTCGTCTACTGTGCACTGACCGCCACTCTGTGTCCTGAGAAAGCCCAACGTTTATGTAACCGTCTCCAAACAGCTTCTGCTCTGTTAACCACTCAGGTATTCACATGTTTTATGGAAAAAATGATCAAAAGGCTCAGAGAAATAGTGTGACAGGATCTAATGGGTCTGGTTGGCTCTCCCTTCCTCTCATTAAAACAAGTGTGTGTGTGTGTGTGTGTGTGTGTGTGTGTGTGCCCACATGCATGTTTTTTAAACTAAAGGGAGCGCTGCCCGGGCCGGTCTGGCTCAGTGGTTACCGTGTGGGCCAAAGGACCAAAGGGTCATGGGTTTGATTCCCGGTCAAGGGCACGGACCTCAGTTGCAGTTTTGATCCCCCACCTCCATCCGGGCGCAGGCGGGAGGCAACAATCAATACGTTTCTCTCACATCACTGTTTCTCTCTTTTCTCTCTCCCCCTCTCTCTCTCCCCCGCTCCCCTTCTACTCTCTCTAGGGGGGAAAAAGCCCATGGAAAGACAATGAAGGGGCCTGTACACTGCGTGAGCCTCACTCCCGTGAGAGCGGCCTTGCTGCTCTAGTCAACAGCGTCCACTGGCTGCGCCCGGCCACGCCGACCCACTCCCGTCCCTCAGGCATCTCCACAGCCCACGGCGCCTCATCTTAACAGCCCCCGTGACCGGTGTCGCTTACCACTGAGGTTTGCTGACCCTGCAAACGTTCATTCTGTTGCCACCACATAGTCTGCATCCACAGGAAGAACTACATAGAATGTAAACACCCCTCCGCCCAGCATGAGAGCAGGCAGTGGAACGACCGCCAGCCCTGCGGGCTGCCCGGAGCTACAGCGCTGAGAGGCACCCGCCCGCCCCTGCCCCCGTGCACCCTGCACCTTCTCAAGCCCACGGGACACCTTCACATAACCCTGTGAAGGGGACGTTTACCAGGAAGACATCTCGCTGGACACCTCTGGCTCACACTTCCTCCTTCACAGGCAGCCCTTCACCCCAAGACATTTTTAAAATTAAAGTCTAGTCACCGGCCCATGTGGCTCAGCCGGCTGACCATTGTCCTATGCACCCAAAGGCTGCTGTTCAATGCCCAGTCAAGGCAGGTACAGAAGGCAACGCTTGATGTGTCTCTCTCACATCAGTGTTTCTCTCTCTCTCTCTCTCCCCTGCCCTCCCTCCCTCCCTTCCTCTCTTCTCTCTCTTTCTCTCTGAGCATGTCCTAGGGCAGTGATGGCGAACCTATGACACGCGTGTCAGAGGTGACACGCGAACTCATTTTTTTGGTTGATTTTTCTTTGTTAAATGGCATTTAAATATATAAAATAAATATCAAAAATATAAATCTTTGTTTTACTATGGTTGCAAATATCAAAAAATTTCTATATGTGACACGGCACCAGAGTTAAGTTAGGGTTTTGCAAAATGCTGACACGCCGAGCTCAAAAGGTTCGCCATCACTGACCTAGAGGGTATTATTCTAAGTAAAATAAGTCAGACAGAGAAAGACAAATGCCATATGATTTCACTTATTTGTGGAATCTAAGAAACAAAATAAACAACCAGAATTGAAACAGACTCATAGATACAGAGAACATTTTGATGGTTGCTAGATAGGAGGCAGGTGAGGGATGGGTGAAAAAGATGAAGGGATGAAGAAGTACAAATTGGCAGTTACAGAATAGACATGGGATGTAAAGTACAGTATAGGGAACATAGTCAGTAATACTGTGACAACTCTGAAGGGTGTCAGATGGCTACAGATTTATCGAGGTGACCACTTTGTAAGTTATTTAATGTCTGGTCACTGGGTTGTGAACTGTAAATGAAAAATAAAACATGATTTTATTTATTTATTTTAAAAAGATTTAAAATAATTAGTTAATTGAATAACATAAATAAAGACCCTACTTCTTCTTTTATATATATTTTTATTGACTTCAGAGACTAAGGGAGAGGGAGAGAGAGACAGAACATCAATGGTGAGAGAGAATCATTGATCGGCTGCCTCCTGCACACCCCCTATTGGAACTCGAGCCTGCAATCCAGACATATGCCTGACCAGGAATCGGACCACCTGGTTCATAGGTTGATGCTCAACCACTGAGCCACACTGGCCGGGCTAGGCCCTACCTCTAAAATGAGTTGGCCCTGTTTTCACTTTCACTACAGGGAAGCTATGAAAACGCGCTCATTCACTCTTGATCTTCCGTTCTATCGCAATCATGTAAAAACAACAGCCTGCTGACTTGTCTAAAATGAGTGGTATGAAAGGTGTTAAAAAGGACTTGCACCTCGTTTCCTTAGCAGTGACCAGTTCTGGAACAGGGCGGGAGTCTGCCACAAAAACGCGTGCCCGTTTGTTTAATGTCTACTTAAAAAGGACTTGTACCTCGTTTCCTTAGCAGTGACGTTCTGGAAAACAGGGCGGGAGTCTGCCACAAAAACGCGTGCCCGTTTCTTGCAGCTTGGGGAGCGTTTCTCACGGTATCTCTAAGCTGGGCAACGTCCAGGCACATGGCAACGCTACCTTTACACAGATCGCCACGGCGTTTCTAGGGACATTGGGAGAGGTCTTCAACAATGAGCGACATTAATAACAGAGGAAGGAGGGAAGGGAGGAGCAGCGGTGGCCACGGCAACAGGTCATTCATCCTCACAACACCCGCATCCTTCGCAGGCGACAAATCGGAGGCACCGCGTGGCCAAGCACCTCGCACCCTCGGCTGGGGAGTGGCAGAGCTCAGCTCACACAGGCAGGCTCTCCCGGGCCTGGGCCCTGAACCACGGGGAACCTTGCCCTTTAAGAGCAATGACTTTCTCTACACCTTGATGGGAAGACGCCAGGAGGAGGCCACAAACAGATGTCAGACCTACGAGGTGGTAGTGTCCTGCCCACACCAGGGAGCACATGCCGGGACATTCTCTCGCGTACTTTTGCAAAATTTAAGTGGAAGCAATATAGGCTTAATGATGGCAAATATCGACCTGTCATTTCCATTTATTAATAGCAGTTTAGCTCATGAGGCAGGGTTGATTAGTGCCGTGATATTCTAAATAGCAGCAAATTATTTCCCGGTCTCATTTGTCTGATCATTGGGATGTGGAAAGCTCCCACGACCATCAGCATTTTACATAATTAATGTTTCGCCGCCAGCCACGGAAACGAAGCTCTATCTTATTATTTTGTTAGCTAGAAAGGACGACAGATAAAGTAAGACGTTATATCCTTGGAAAGCATAAGGGCTAGTCTACTAACACTGACACGAATGAAGCAGTTAGCCGAGGCCTTTGAAAGCGCTGATTTCCTGGCGTGTTGTTCTCACGCGCTCTGCGCTGCACCTGCGGGCCTGGCTTGCTGCTCACGAGCCTCCCTCCAGGCGCTCGCCTCTGACGCGCGCCCCTCCCACCTGGCATGGAGCAGGCCCTCAGGAGAGTCAATAAGCAAAATGACAAACCGGCGCAGGAGCAGGTTAGAAACGTTACTTGTGGTCATCGTCGCTCTCGTGGCCACAGCGGTAAACATGGCTAAGACCTTAAAGGTCAGAAATAGTTGTGTTTGTTTCTCGCTGCACTGGTTTCCGTCACTCGGGAAGCACAGCCAAGCCCCGGAGGTGCCAGCTCCGTGGCACCTGGCACCGTTCCCTGGGGAGAGGGGCCAGCCTGCAGGAGCACCCCGATCCAGCACAGGATGGGGAGGTGGCTGCAGCTCCCCGCACAGGGCCACCCTCCGACAGCCAAGCGTTTCCACAAACACAGCAGCCGCCTTCAACCCTCAGCGGGTGGGTGGGCCATTCGTATTTGCCTTTTAATGCACAGAAAGGTTTATGAAATAGACCCTGAGTTCAGCTCAAACCATCATTGTTGAGGGTAAGAAGATGTATGAATAATTTTTGTTTCTTTAATGAAATGACAATTTAAAAAACATTTCACAGAGCCCGGCTGGTGTAGGTCAGTGGTTGAGCATTGACCTATGAACCAGGAGGTCACGGTTTGATTCCCGGTCAGGGCACATGTCCAGGTTGCAGGCTCGATCCCCAGTGTGGGGCCTGCAGCAGGCAGCCGATCAATGATTCCTCTCATCATTGATATTTCTATCTCTCTCTCCCTCTCCCTTCCTCTCTGACATCAATAAAAATATATATTTTTTAAAAAGATAAACTAGGAAAATGCAAGAGAGGTTTAATACACGTAATATATAAAACACTATGCAGACTGAGAAAAAAAACATAAAACCAAGGTTAAATGGGCAGAGCGAATTAACGAGACATTTTACAGAGGACAGAGAAATGACTAAGAAATACGTTTTTTAATAATCAGCATGTAAATGAAGCAGAATACAAAGTCACATCTTACTAAGTTACCAAAGTATGTCTGTTTAATGAGCATATTTAATGCCACAGAGGCTCCGGGTGACACGCTCACCCTGAGGCCCTGACCAAACCCATAAAGTCCTGTGGTCATGGCTGTGTGGCCTGGGCAGGGGGGAGGGGGTGGGGAGGAAGGGCTCTTCTGAGCCTCAGGGATGACACCGGTACGCGTGTTTATTGGAAAGAAGGAACTTGGAGATAACCCATCCCTTTTGGCAAGCAGCTTGCTAAAGCTCTGACCCCAGATGGCCATCACATGAGATGGGAATGTCATTCTATAAAGTGCATCGGCGCTCCCACAGCCTCTGCTGGAGCCCCACACGCCGCAGGCGCCCTGACGATCGGAGCGGACCCACGCCCACTTGACGCCTTCTCAGAAACTGCCCATCGGCACGCAGTGAAGGAGGCGCACGAAGCAGCTCCCCGACCTCCGCACCGCACCCACCCCGAGATCCGAGAGAAATGGCCGCAGACACACCCTGTCTGGGCGTGAAGACCCGGGGAGCCCGCCCGCCGTCCCACTCACTCAGCAGCTTTGCGATGATGTACAGGGCTTGGCCCCAGAGGAACAGCTTCCCGTCCCGGCCACTGTTGCTGGGGAAGCGCTTCTGGCTGCCGGGGTTTCTCTTCTCCAGCTCCACGAAGTCGGCCGGCACGTAGTAGTACTTGGGGACGACGGGGTGGCCTGGGGGTGCGAGAGTGACTGTTAGGAAGCAGAGCGCGACGAGACTTGTGCAGGAGGTGACGGGCCCCACGGGCTACGGGAAGCGGCTGTGGGGCCCCTTTCAGAAACTGCCGGGAAGAACTTGAGGACCCCAATTCCACGCGCAGGACACGCTTCCGCCAACACTTCCTGTGGCGCCTGGAAGTGCACCCATGGCGCGGCACTATGCAGGTGCTGGCAGGCGGCGAGGAAGCCAGTTTTAGAGGGAGGGTCGGTCGGGGAAGCTCACACCTGGGACCTGGTGCGGGGGGGGGTCAGACCCGGAGCCCGGCTGAGAGCAGAGAGACCCCGTTTCCCACACGGGCCCAGACCTCCGCGCCACACCTTCCCCGGCCACCTGGTTAGACCTGCTCCTCAGGGGAAGCTAAGTGTTACTGTGAGAAGACCGGAGTCTGGGTGCCGCAGGGGAGACAGCACTCCGAGCTTCTGCACGTCAGCCCGTGGGAAACTTCGTCTCCTAATGAGATCGCATAGGTTTCCCTGAAGCTCCGTCCCCTGCGTCGGGCAGGACTGACGTGTGTCTGACACCCACACGAGGGTCTGTCATGCACTGGTTCCTAGGTCAGCACGCGACCACTGAGCCCCGCCGGCCGGGCTGGAACTTCGCCTTTGAAATTCCTCTGAGAAAGAGTTCTGTCTCACACAGAAGACTCCGTCCCACTCTTCCCTGGGCCCTGCTGGCCTCTACCTGGAACCCGCACGCTGCTCAGAGGACGGGGCCTGCGATCATTTCTAAAATATGAAGTCCATCCTCAGAGGGCGGCGTCTTAGCAGACATCGACATAACCTGAGGAAGGTGCTACAGGCGACTCCCAAGAGGAGGCCAGAGCGCACCGGGCCCATGGCAGCCCTCTGCAGGCGGACTCCCCTGAGCACCGTGGTTCCGGGCCCTGATGCAGATCCATCACGTCCGCCCTGGCTGGGGGCTCAGTGGTGAGAACGCAGCCCCCAGACTGAGGCGGCGCAGGCTGGCTTCCCGGTCAAGGGCAGGTACCTCGGTTTCAGGTTCCATCCCCAGCCCGGTTGGGGCGTGTATGGGAGCAACCAACCAATGTATCTCTCTCACATCAATGCTTCTCTCCCCCTCCCCACCTTTGCTCTCTCTAAAGATCAATGAAAAAATACCCTCTGGTAAGGATTAAAAAACCAGTCCTTCCTGTCACGCCAGCACAGAGCAAAGGAGCTACAGCGGGTGGCGGAGGAGGACCCGCCGCCCGGCCCGCGTCCTGCAGTGGCTGCAACCACGACCACCTGAATCCCCCCATCCCGGCCGTGCCAAATGCACTCCTTTCAGAAGACACATTTGTGACAAGTGAATAGATTGTTCTTTCTAACTCATTCAAGGCCCCCTCGTTTCTTTCAGTCTGACAGCAACTGCTCTAAGAGGAATCATGCACATTTGGAAGGCGCCTCCGGGAGCCCCTCGGGAGGAGCGCCTGCAGCAGCCGCAGCCTACCTTCCGTGGTCCGGTGGAGCACGGGCGCCAGCAGGTCCTGGTACTCCTTCACCTGCGCGGCGTGGCCTCGGAAAACCCCTGCAACACAGAACACAGCGCAGCGCCGCTCAGCGAGCACGCGGGGACTCCCCGCAGAGCCATCGGCCCACCTACAACTATTTTGGTAATTATCTAGGTAAATGATAAACATAAAATTTTAAAAAAGGTAATGAAAATGTGTGTGATAGTTTTCCAGGAAATCAATTTCAGAAGGTCATGTTAGCATTTAGGATTGAAAACTGATTATTAATTGAAATTTCTCGATTCTTCAGTGTGAATGTTATAGATATCCAGTGTCGCAGATTATAGCATTCGTGGTTTCTACGCATGAAACTTTCTTCTTTCTAAATATGAAAATAGAGCTGTATCATTTTAAAAATAATTCAGCCCGGCCAGCGTGGCTCAGTGGTTGAGCATCGACCCATGAATCAGGAGATCGCGGTTCGATTCCCCATCAGGGCACATGCCTGGGTTGCAGGCTCAGTCCCCAGTGTAGGGACCATTTATGTTTCTATCTCTCTCACTCTCCCTTCCTCTCTGAAATCAATAAAAATATATTTTTAAAAATAATAATTCACAGTGTGGTTCTAACTCTCTAAGTGATTTAACATTCCGCCGGGAAGCGGGGAGCGTAAAATGCCGATGAGATGGCACAGGCACTGTCTGAGCGGCAGGATGCGGTGGCGTCTCGTGCGTGCGCCTCCCGACACACCCAGCCCGCAGCTCAGCCGCAGGGAAGCTCACTCACCGTCGATGATCATGTACAGGAAAAATATGGGGAATTCACATTCGATGCCATCGAACAGCTAGAACAGAAAATAAAATATGGAAATGTCATGAACAATTAGCTGGAACAATCACAGTGTCAGGGCAATGTATCAATCACAATTACAGTGGGATATGCAAAAGGAGTGACTTATTGTATAACAAAACGAGGCTGATTTGAGCAGCAGGTTCGTTGTTGTTTTTTAAATTCTCTGGACTCATTCAAGGGCTCATGTGCTTCGTCGTCGCTCAGCGCGCCTTCGCTCCATCAATGTTTACGGGACTTAGCACCGCCCGTGCCCGGCATCAGCGGGACCAGAGCTGAGAACACAGACGCGCTCCCTCGAGGGCCCAGCCCACTGGGAGGCGGCGAGGAGGCAGCACCTGCCGCCCTCTGAGATGTCCGTCCTCGTGTGTCAGGAACAGGGACGAACCCCGAGTCTGCCAGGGTCAGGAGGGCTTGGAGAAAGGGGGTTCACATGATGCCTGCAGGCCTCCCCCACGAGGGAGCGGGGGTGCCTCACCACGCACCCAGGGATTTAACTTCCTCCTCAACACAGTGGCGCAGAGGATGTGCGAGGAGGCTCCTGGTCTCGCCCACTGGTAGCGGCCGAGCAGGACGCAAGCCCAGGCGGCACTTCTGACCCGCTGGCACCGGGGGTGGCATTCTCGGGTACCTTAATCTCAGCTGGTTTGTAGTAGCGTCTGTGGGGATCCTCCAGGGACGTCCTATACCCGTCTCTCAGGAAACGCTTGAAGCCGTATTTCCCTTTCAGCTTCCGAACCACCTTGTCGAGTGTCTGGCTGAACAGAGCTTCGTCATCCAGCGCGAACGCAGGGTAGCTGATGCAGGGGAGCAGGGCGGCATCCGTGTTCTGGGGACAAGAAGAGGGGGCGGTGGACCTACAGCGACAAGGCCGACATCCCGCGGAGACCCAGGGAGTCAGGAGTCGGCAGGGACCCTGCGCCAATGAGGCGTGCCCCAGGGATAGGGGCGTCCACGCGGCCTGGGAGAGTGGGCCTCAGAGGAGACAATCTTATCCGTGAGTAAGTCTTCTCAAGGCTCAACACTGACCTCAGGCTTGAGATCTTAATTAAGGCAGTGTGTGAAATTTCACACCGATAATTAGTCCTTACAACTTAGTTTGTCATAACAACTTGTTTACAATCGCGAAAAACAGAACAATCTAAATGTCCAACAACTAGGACAGTATATTAGCAGCCATTAAAATGTATACTGTGGAAACCATTTTTTTTTAATATGGAAGCATGTCCGTTCATAGAACTCCGTTACGGAGCATTATTAAGAATATCCTCCAGTTTTGTAAAGTGAAAACATTGTATATGTACATCAACCATGCGGAAACCCACAAACATGAGTGTGCCGCCTATGATGAAAGTCTGGGGGTGCAGGAATGAGATGATATTATTTGCACTTGTGGGTTTTACTTTTCTCTTATCAAAATCTTGTGCTACTTCTTCTATACAATAGTTGTTTTTAAATAATTAAATACTCTCACTTGGGATGTTTTCTAAAAAACAGAGCCACAAGCAACTGCCAGAAAACTCTGAGAAAGTCTCCTCCCGGCATATGAAAGTCACCCAGAGATGACGTCACAAATGGCGTCTAATTCACGGCAAAGGTGCTCACATGAGATCGCGATTCCCGGGGCAGCAGGGAGCACAGAGTCTGCCTGTTGCGATTATGAGCATCGAGATCCACAAATATGACTGACCACGAGCAGCCCTGGAACGAGAGAGACGGGACTTGTACAGAGCTGGGCATCTGAACTGTAAAGAAACTTCACCCAAAAACAACAACACTGGCTGCATGTGAGAGCGGCTCTACTACAGGAAGAAACTTCACCCAAAAACAACACTGGCTGCATGTGAGAGCGGCTCTACTACAGAAGATTTTAATTTTCTTTTCAGTACAGTCAGGTCTTCTCAAATATCCTGCAATACACATATTAACTTTGTAATCATAACAAATGTTATTTTCCTATTTCCCTATTTCTCCTATATTTTCTTATAAATCAAAATATATTGATAACTAATCAATTAAAGATATTCAGTCTAATAAAATGCCAATATTAGTTAGCCTGTGAATAGAGAAAACAGTAAGACTTACCATGTATGCTTAGGCTGCTAATTAGGGAAGTTAACTGCATGCCATATCATGCAAGTCTGCCCTGAGTTGAAATTTTAAAGGCACAATCTAAGGAGGCTAATTTATAAGGAATGAAGGGAAATGGTAGCTTTGGCAATTCTTGCTCAATTTGATTAATTTGATTTGATTTGATTAATATAAACAGTCACCTTCTATTTTCTGCCAAAAAACAAATGGCCTCCTTGTCCAGGCCTCCCCCTCTCCCAGCCTCCAAGGAAGGTGCGCAGGGGGACAGGCTCCGCTCTCACCACATTTCTCACCTGGGCAGAGGCCAGTCAGCGACATGGTTTGCTGTCCTCTTACAAACGGACCAGCCTGCCCTGCCTGCTGAGGCTCGGTTGGCTGGGCATCGTTCTGAGCACCAAAAAGTTGTCGGTTCGATTCCCAGTCAGGGCACAGGCCTGGGTTGCGGGCTCCATCCCCAGTAGGGGGCGCGCAGGTGGCAGCCAATCAATGTTTCATTCTCACATGGATGTTTCTTGCTCTTTCGCCCTCTCCCTTTCTCTCTCAAAATCAATTTAAAAATCTTAAAAAAAAAAAAACCCAGGCCATGCTTTAGGCATATGGTCCAGATTTACAGGAGGATAAAAATCACCCAGGGCCATAGGCAGCTATTCGTATTCAGAAGCGATTTTTCAAAAACGTCCTTAAGGAGGACGTACAGATGGGATTAATTATCACCTGCTGTAGAGGATCAGACACATTCATTTCAGGCTGCAGCGTTCAAAGGGAGGGAGACGGAATGCCTTGCTTTGAACGCTCTGCAGAACCTGAGCAATCTCTCTTCACGTTCAGACGGGGCCTCACTAGGTCGCGTGGTGACTTCTCCCGTGAAGACAGGAGAAGGGAGAATGTTCTCTGAGGACGTGCCAGCCAGCATGTCTGTGCGCCCTGGGCAGCTTTCCATCTCCCACCTCCTCAGTCATCACAACTCTGCCCGGCACCTGCCTCCACCTCGCGAGCGTATTTGAAGACCCACAGCGAGACGTGCCCACGCGGAGGTTCCCTGACGGTGCTCCAGGGAACGCACCGCGTCCCCTCCCCGGGCTCCTGGTGTCCTCACCGGGAGTTTCTGCCTGTGACCCTCTGCACCGGTTTTGCCCTCCCCCACCTCTGGCAACACCAATCAGTTCCCCGTACCTACGACCTTGTGCTGCTGTTTATTTACATCCCACACATCAGTGAGATCATACAGTATTTGTCTTTTTTCTCTGATTCATTTCATTTACCATAATTCCCTCGAGGTATAGCCATGCTGATGGAGATGTCCAGACTTTATTCCCTATGGCTGACTCCTATTCTATCGTGCACGCGTACACCCATTCATCCGACAGTGCCCCCGGCTGCTCCCATCTTTCTTGGCTGATGTAACAAGGCTCAATGCCATTATTTATGCCATACTACCCTCCTATTTCTCTGTCTCTCTCTCACACACACACACACACACACACACACACACACGCTCGCACGCACGCACGGTTAAATGATGTGTGGAGAGGGAGGGTGAAAAGGAAATAAAACGACTGAGAGCTGCGTGAGTGCTGGGCTCCTCGGGAGGAGAGGAGTGTGGGTAGAGGCCAAGGACCCGGTCGGAGGCCCCGAGAAGCCCCGGGCATCCCCGGGAGAGGCGCAGCATTAATGCTCGTGGTTTTCCACGGGCTCTCACACCCACATCCCACAAGAGAGGCCGAGTGTGGGCCGTGGGTGACGTAGGGCCGCCATGAGAGCGCCCAGAATGCGCGCTGCGCCCCTTTTCCCAGTCCCTTCCTGTCGGCCTCACTCTTCATCCTTCCCGTCCCGGGTGTGACGGGAGTCCACCCCCAGAGGAGGTGGGAGGGAGGGAAGAGGTGTCCGTGGGGAGGGGGAGACCGCTGGGTACCACTAGGAACTTTCTTACACTCACCGCTTGGGGTCCCTAGTATTGTCATCGCCCCGACAGAAACCGCCACATTTTACACCTCCGTTAACTCCCTCCAGGGCATCTGTACTGGCCTAGCATTTTCATAGCTTGGGGTTCACTGTAATATCGGCCGGAGCCTCCTTTGCCCGTCCAGCTTAGGAATCTTTACGAACATTGCTAAAGAACACGAGTGACTTCTTGACCCAGAGGAGGATGCGGTATTCTTACATTTCATTCCTTTCCATCAACAGCTCGAGCCATGCTACTTGATTACGTGCAGGGACTGGTTAATGACCTTCTGAACATGTAAGGCAACCCTCAGGGTTTTCTCTCTTGTCCCAAAGAAAATGAGATTTAGACATATTCACAGCCAGGTGAGGGTTAAGCTAGGATCCAAACTTGCAATTCTGTGGCTGTATATGTTACACGTCCCCCTCCCCAGAGCTGTACGTTGATGTACATCACATAGAAACTGGTGTGAGAACTGACATGGGAAATACACGGCATATAAGGCCAGAAATGTCTTAAATGTGGAAGCTCATCAGCAGATTTGAGGGGAAAGTTATTGAACAAAGATGATGAGAATTCTGCCGAGCCGGTGTGGCTCAGTGGTTGAGCATCGACCCATGAACGGAGAGGTCACCAGTTCAATTCCCAGTCAGGTGCATGCAGGAGGCAACCAACCGATGTTTCTCTCGAATCCATGTTTCTATCTCTCCCTCTCCCTTCCTCTCTCTCTCAAATCAATAAAAAATATTTTTTTAAAAAAGGTAACGAGAATCCTTTACTAAAAGATTTTTAAAATGAAGCAATGTTCTTTAGTTAGGAAACTAAAATTTAACTGGCAAGTCCCAGGGCAGCCTGTTCGACCGCGCGACATAGATTTCAGACGTTCTGCGATACTGAGTAATGACTTGGCTAATGAGTGGCCAAATTAATTAAACAGGTAATTAAAAAAGTAATCAAAGTTTGTTGCTGCTGCTATGTTTTTTTTACCTGATTGCCAAAGAGGTTGAATCCATTAATTGCTTCTAGAGCTGCTTTTGCTAAGCCAACCGAGCTGAAAGGGAAAAGGAACACGTTGTAACTCTGACCCATCTGGCTACAAAATGAGCACCACCGTCTGATGAATATTCACAAGCCAGTGTCTCTATTAACACTTATAACAACTTCCGGAAGAAGAAGAATGTCGGGGAGACCTCGGAATGACATGTCGCTATTTTAGTGTTTCTATTCGATCGTGAGTGACCTCTGGGGGGAATGTTTCTAAGATCCCCTTGGCGTGGACAAATGGCCATAGGACGGGTGGGAGCAGCTTTAACTCGGCAGCACGGACAGCCCCTGGCGCAGGAGGGAAAGGGCGAGCTGGGAGGAGGCTGCTGGGATGAGCGGTGGAGTCACCACCAGGCTGGGCACCGTCAGTTCAGACCAACGCAAAAGGGCTGTGCTGACGTCAATCGGAGCCTGAAAAGGACCTCGCGTCAGACACGACCGGAGCGTGGTGAGCTGCACCCAGCTGAGCATCGTGCTCGGGGACCGGAACAGGCAGTGCTTTCTGTCCCCAGACGGCTGGTCAGCAGGCCTCTCATCTGCCGCTGCGTTCCTCTCTTTGTGATACAATGTGTACTCCTCTGCCGTACACAATTGTGCTCAAAAATGGGGAGACCCAAGTGTCATTAAAAATAGGACACTGTTGTCTTATAAATAGCAACCTTTAAGCATTTTAGACCTCCTATCCCGTTTATTCTCCTTACTGCAACTGTTTTCTGAAAGCAACTGCGTGCGCCGGGAATACTGAACAAAATTAATGATCTGTCATCGTTTCAGCACGTCTCCCAGGCAGTTAACAAAGCGGGGCCGGAGCAGCAGCCTGGCCCGGAGCCTGGCAGCAAAGCCAGTCCTCCCTCCTCCCACTCCCTCTCCCCTCTCTCTCTCCTCCCTCCCCTCCCTCCTCCCACTCTCCCTCTCTCCCCTACC